GCTGAAGGCAGCCTAAATCCCCTTTACATTTAGTTAATAAGAAAAGCAAATAGCTATTTATTTATTCACTAAATAAATGCAAGTCTCACTTTCTGGGGAGGGCCAATTGCTGCTAGCTGTTTACAGTACTCTCCAGGAAGCCTGTAAGCTGCCCAGACCCTCAGCTGAACTGGCAAAGCATGATATCTGTGTCAATGTAATTTATTCATCCATTTCTCAGTCAGGGAGTGCAGGAAGATCCTGCAGGTAGTGAAACCAAAAGGATAGCAGCCCACACTCTCAGAAAACTGAGTCACACTGGTTCTTGGGTTGATGTGAGACTTAGACATGCCTCCCTCTAGAGCAGTTATCCCCAACCTTTTTGATACCAGGGACCACATTGGTGGAAAATAATTTTTTCACAGATGGAGGAGAAAAGGTGGTGTGGGGGAATGGAGTCAGGGGTGAGAATGGAATGATTTCAGGATGAGACTTTCACCTCAGCTCTTTGGCAAACATTAGATTCTGATGAGCACACCACCTAGGTCTCTCATGTGAGGAAGGGTTGTGCTACTGTCAATCAGATCTGACAGGAACCTCAGGCACTAAGGTTCAGGCAGTTTCTGTGGCAGACAGGTAGGGGAAAATGTGGGGGGGGACAAGGTGATGGGAGGGTGGTGTTACGGGGCCCTGAGTGTTCAGCTAGGCCATGGCATATTTCTCTATGGACCCACAGCTGAACTGAAAAAGCAAAATATCTGTGTTATTATATTTTATGCATCCATCACTGAGTCCGGGTCTGCAGGAATACCCTCCCCAAGGAAGCCCACCATGGCAAAAACCTAACAGCAAGAACAACAACAACAAAACTCTCAACACTGTGCCAGTGATTTCAGGTGGCTTCCCAAGAGCCACAAGCTGACCCAGTGAGGGGTTTATTCCTCTCTGTTTGGATGCAAATGGAAAATTACACAAAGAAACTTAGCTGCAAGTCCTGGAATACACAAATGAACTATGCAGCCAAATAATATTCTATTTCCTACTATTTTCTAGATATCTATTTCTCATTATTTTCTAGAACCATCTTCTAGATCTTAGTACAAATTACAATGCCAAAAAGTCATTTTACTAATTCTGCTCTCATGCCCTGTGGAAAAAAGGCAAGAATTTAGTAATGATGCTGTACAGAGCCTTTGTCATTTCAAAACTTCCAGAAATTAGGCCAACTGACAATGCCCCATTTACACTATAGTTAACATTATATCAGTCCTCCCAGATGAGAAAGAACCACTGCAAGAACAGTGACTTCAAAATACCATAATGTCCCTTGCCTGCAAATCAGCATGTTAGCTTCCCAGGAACCAGTCTCAATGATCTCAAATGACAGGCGTGAAATTCAGAATCTGACTGGCAAGAAAACTCATTAAGATTAAAGAGAATAGCATGGGGAGAAATGCCAAATGTGGGTGAAGGGGCAGAAGGCAGCAAAACACACTGCCATGTGTGTACCTATGCAACTATCTTACATGTTCTGCACATGTACCCCAAAACCTAAAACGCAATAAAAAATAAAAAAAATTAAAAAAGTAATAAAATTACAGTAATACTACAAAAAAATAAAAAGATTGAAGAGAAAATTGAAACTCTCCAATTAAAACAAGCAACATACTAAAGACATTCAAGAGCTGAAATATTAAATAGCCACTTAGAGAAAGACCATACACTGACTTCTTCGGCTGAAAACTTCACTGTAAGAATGTCATAATGCAATTGGAAGTGTTAACAACAAAGTAGACTGAGCTGAGGGAAGAATCTCAGAGTTTCAAGACTTGTTCTTTCAAATCAACTCAGTCAGTCAAAAATAAATAGAATTGAAAATGAGCAAAACCTCCAAGAAATATGGGGTAAGTAAAGAGACCAAATCTATGAATTGACTCACCAGTATTCCAAAGAGGAAAGGAGAAAGAATAAATAACTTGAAAATATATTTGAGGAGACAGGCATGAAAGACTTTCTCATCACACTAGAGAGGTTGACATCTAAATCCAAAGAATATAGAGAAGACCAGCCAGATGCTACTTAATATGACCATTTACAAGGCACATAGTCATCAGATTCACCAAGGTCAATGCAAAAAGAAACAACAAAAACAAAAATGTAAGAGAAGCTACAGTGGCAAGTCACCCACAAGATGGCAGAAGACCTTTCAGTGGAAACCTTATAATCCAGAAAAGACTGGGAGCATATTTCCAACATTCCTAAAAAAAAAAAAAAACAAAATTAACCAAGAATTTTATGTCCCACCAAACTAAGATTAAAAGAGAAATGAAATCCTTCTCAGGCAAGCAAATGCTAAGGGCATACACTTCAAGTTGATTAGACTTTCAAGACATCCTCAGGGCATGCTAGATATAAATTTGAAATAATGATACTGCTACCACAAAAGCACACTTAAGTGCATAGTCCACAGGCATTATAAAGCAGCTAGGAAACCAAGCCTATATAGCAACCAGCTAACAACACGATGACAGGATGAAAATCACACATATCAATACTAACCTTGAATAACACAGAGTGGTAGGCTAAATAAAAGACAAAACTCAACCACCTGTTGCCTTTAAGATACCCATTTCACATCAAATGACACCTATAGCCTCAAAGTAAAAGACCCAGGTAAGAGCCACCATGCAAATGAAAAACAAAAAGCAGGAAAGCAGGTGTTAAACCAGTGAAAACTGAGAAGGACAATGAAGGTCATTACACAATAGTAACGGGTACAATCCAACACTATCCTAAATATACATACATCCAACTTTGGAGCATCCTGATTTAGAGAATAAGTTCTTCTTGGCCTATGAAGAGACTAACAAAGAAACTCTGGACTTAAACTCAACACTTGACCAATTTGACATAACAGATATCTACAGAACAAACACTCCACTTAACAAACAGAGAACAGATATTCTTCTCATCTGCACAGAGAGCACAGACTAAGATTAACTATCAGCCCAGTCAAAAGGCAAGTCTCAGTAAATTCAAAATAAACCGAAATTACACAATGCACACTCTTGGATCACAGTGCAAAAAAATAGAAATCCAAGATCTCTCAATACCAAGATCTCTCAAAATACACAAATACAGGGAAATCAAACAACTTACACCTAACTCACTCCTAGGTGGACATCAAAATTGAGGCAGAAATTAAGATAATTCTTTGACATAAATGAAAATAGAAAAAACGTTCCCACATCTCAGGGATGCAGCCAAAGCAGGTTTAAGTGGAAAGTTTATAGCCCTGAAATGCCCTCATCAAGAAGTTAGAAAAATCCCACCTTAATGGGCAGGCATAGTGGTTCATGCCTGTAATCTTGGCACTTTGGGAAGTTGATGTGGGCAGATCACCTGAGGTTGGGAGTTTGAGACCAGCCTGACCAACAGGGAGAAATCCTGTCTCTAGCAAAAGTTGAAAAAATTAGCTGGGTATTGTGGCACATACCTGTAATCCCAGCTACTCAAGAGACCAAGGCAGTAGAATCAAGTGGTGGGAATGTGCTTTAGGAGGCCCTAAGCTACAGGGCTGGTTTGGTAAAACCTTGGACTACCAGACTTCTGCTTGAGAGAGCGCCACCATGGGAAATAAATAAATAAATAAAAATAAAAACCTCTCAACACAGTGTCAGTGATTGCAGGTGGCCTCCCCAAGGCCCACAAGCAGATCCAGTCAGGGGTTTGCCTCTCTGTCTCTAGTCCAGTAAAATACAGGAATAAATGCCAGAATACAAAAAAAAAAAACTCTACAGGTGAGTATTAGGCCATCTATTGCTCATTATTCTCCAGCACCATCTCTAGATTTTAGCCCAAATTACAACACCAAAAAGTCACTTTACTAATTCTGCCCCCAACCTGTGTAAAACCACAGACAAGAATTTAGAAAAAATGACACTGTACAGAGACTTTGCCATCTCAGAACTTCCAGAAATTAAGACAAATGATAATACTCAGTTTGAATCACAGTCAAAGGCATACCAGCCATCTCAGATGAGAAAGAACCAGTGCAAGAATGATGACAGTTCTAAACACAAGAATCTATTTTGGCACTAAATCAGACCGGTAGCTCCCCAGCAACCAATTTCAATGGTCTGAAATAACAGACATGGGAATTCTGAATCTGGATGGCAAAAAAATCTCATCTAAATTGAAGAGAAAATTGAAACAATCCAAGGAAGCCAACCAATGCAAAAAAGAAATCCAAGAGCTCAAAGATGAACTAGACACTTAAAGTAAGACCAAAAATTGACTTCGTCAGCTGAAAACTTCACTATAAGAACATCAACATGCAATTGGATGTGTTATCAGCAGAATAGACCAAGGAAAAGAGAGATAATAAACCACTTGAAAAAAATATATTTGAGGAGACGGCCATGAAAGTCTTTTTCATCACACTAGAGAGGTCAACATCCAAACCCAAAGAATACAGAGAACCATAGCGAAATGCTACATAATATTGTTCCCAAGGCACATAACCATCAGACTCATTAAGGTCAATGAAAAAACAAACAAACAAATAAGAAAACTAACAAAAATCAAAAGCGAAAATGTAAATGCAGCTAGGAAGAATTGTCAGGTCACCTACAGCAATAACACTATCAGGATGACAGTGGGTCTTCAGCAGAAACCTTACAATCCAGAAGTGATGTGGGTCTATTATCAACTTTCTTTTAAAAAATTTCAAACAAGAAATTTTATATCCCACCAAACTAAGATTCATAAGTACAGAAGACATAAAATTTTTCACCTACAAGAAAATGCTAAGGACCCTAATCTAATTTCAATTAGATTAAACTTTAAAGACATCCTGAAGGGAATGCTGAAAGTGAATTTTAAAGAATGATACCTGCTCCCACGAAATCACACTTAAGTGCATAGCCCACAGGCATTATAAAGCAGCTAGAAAGCAAGTCTACATTACAACAAGCTAACAACACAATGACAGGTTCAAAATCACACATATGAATACTAACCTGGAATGATAAAAAGTGGCAGGCTGAATAAAAAGATGAAACTCAACCATGTATTGTCTTCAAGACCCCCATCTCACATCTAGTGTCACCTGTAGCCAAAAAGTAAAAGAGCTGGGTAAGAACCACCACGCAAATGAAAAACAAGAAGAGCAGGAAAGCAGAAGTTAAACCAAAGAAAACTGAGAAGGATAATGAAAGTTATTACATAATAATAATGATTGCAATCCACTACCATTCTAAGTATACATACATCCAACATGGAGTACCCTGATTTGTAGAACAAGTGCTTGTCCTACAAAAAGACTAACAAAGAAATACCAAACTTAAACTCAGCCCTTGACAAACTGGACTTAACAGACATGTACAGAATGAACACTCCACCCAAGAAACAGAGAACAGATATTCTTCTCATCTGCACATAAAACATAGTCTAAGATTGACTATCAGCTCATCTCAGTCATAAGGCAAGCCTCAGTAAATTCAAAAGAAACTGAAATTACATAAACCACAATCTTGGACCATGCTGCAATAAAAATAGAAATCAATACCAAAAAAAATCTCTCAAAATACACAATTACATGGAAATCATACAACTTATACTTGAATAACCCCTAGGTAAACATAAAAATTAAGCAGAAATTAAGATAATTGTTTGAAAATAAGTAAAAATAGAAAACACTTTTCCAAATCTCTGGGATGCAGCCAAAGCAGGGTTAAGTGGAAAGTTTATAACCCTAAAAAACCTTCATCGAGAAGTTAGAAAAATCTCAAATTAACAATCAAACCACAGTTAAAAGAACTGAGAGAGAGGGGAAAACAACTCCCAATTAGCAGAAGAAAATAACTAAAACTAAGAAAAACAATAAAATTGAGATGCAAAATTGATATAAAAAATTAAACAAAACCAAGATTTTAGCCTTTGAAAATACAAAGAAAAAAAAGGGGGCTGGGCATGGTAGCTCACTTTTGTAATATCAATATTTTGGGAGGTTGTATTGGGTGGATTACTAGAGGTCAGGAATTTGAGACCAGCCTGGCCAACACGGTAAAATCTTGTCTTTACTAAAAAAATAAAATAAAATAGCCAGGCATGGTGGTGCTTGCCTGTATTACTAGGTATTTAGTAGGCCGAGGCATCAGAACTGCTTGAACCTGGGAGCTGAAGGTGTCAGTGATCCAAGATCATGCCATTGCACTGCATCCCAGGTGACAGAGGAAAAACTCTATCTCAAAAAAAGAGAGAATAAGGAAAAAAAGAGAAGATCCAAAGAAGCACAATCAAAACCACATAGGCAGTATTATGACTAATCCCACAGAAATACAAAAGATCCTCGGAGACTACTATGAACAACTCTATGAATACCAATTAGAAAATCTAGAAAAAACAGATAAATTCGAGACCATCCTCGTCAACATGGTGAAACCCCATCTCTACTAAAAATACGAAAAATTAGCTGGGCACGGTGGTGCGTGCCCATAATCCCAGCTACTCAGGAGGCTGAGGCCGGAGAATTGCCTGAACCCAGGAGGGGGAGGTTGCAGTGAGCTGAGATCACACCATTGCACTCCAGTCTGGGTAACAAAAGTGAAACTCCGTCTCGAAAAAAAAATGTTCACCCACCTCAGCCACCCAATGTGCTGGGATTACAGGCATGAGCCACCCCGACTTGGTACAGTCAGGAGTTCGAGACCAGCCTGACCAATACAGCCAAACAAATATACCCTATGCACAGTGGCACATACCTGTCAGTCTAGCTACTTGGGAGGCTGAGGCAGGGGAATCACTTGAATCAGAAAAGTAGAGATTGCAGTAAGCCAAAAAGCATGCTATTGTACTAGATCCTGGGCAAAAAAAATGAAACTCCATCTAAGACAGACAAAACACAAAATGTAGCATAAGTAATTATCATAGAAATGCAAATCAAAACCACAATGAGTTACTATCTCACACCAGCAAAAATGGCTACTATTAAAAAATCAAAAAACAACACATGCTGGGTGAGGATGCTGAGAAAACGTTATATACTGCGGGTAGGAGTATAAGTTAGATCAGCCATTGTGGAAAGCAGTCTGGAAGTTTCTCAAAAAACGTGAAACAGAGCTACTATTTCAACCCACCAATCCCATCCCTAGGTATATACCCAATGTAGTATCAATGATTCTGCCACCAAGACACATGCAGTCGTATGTTCATTTCTATACTATTCATGATAGCAGACATGAAATCAACCCAGGTGACCATCAGAGGCACACCACATAAAGTAAATGATTGATTTATTTTGTATGGTTGTCTAGTATTCCATGTATGTGCATGTAGAATATTCCAAAGCAATTCAATAGAAATAAGTGATGTCCTTTTTAGCAACATAAATGTAGGTGGAGGTCATTATCCTAAGCAAAGCAACACAGATGAGAAAACCAAATACTGCATTTTTTCACTCATAAGCACACATGAACATTCAGCACACAAGAACATAAGCACAGGAATAACAGACACTGTGAACCACTAGTGGGTGGAGGGAAGGACAAAATGGGCCAAAAAAAAAACCTACCTATCGGGTACTATGCTTGCTACTTTGGGTGATGGAATCCACACTCCAAACCATAGAATTTCCCAATATTTCCATGTAACAATCATGCACATAAACTCCCTGTATCTAAGGTAAAATTTATTTTTTTTAAAACGTTTTATTGCATTTTAGGTTTTGGGGTACATGTGCAGAACATGCAAGACAGTTGCATAGGTACACACATGGCAGTGTGTTTTGCTTCCTTTCTCCCGTTCACCCACATGTGGCATTTCTCCCCAGGCTATCCTTCCCACCTCCCCCTCCCACTGGCCCTCCCTTTTCCACCCCAATAGACCCTAGTGTTTAGTACTCCCCTCCCTGTGTCCATGTGTTCTCATTTTTCATCACCCGCCTATGAGTGAGAATATGTGGTGTTTCATTTACTGTTGTTGTGTCAGTTTGCTGAGGATGATGTTCTCCAGATTCATCCATGTCCCTACAAATGACACAAACTCATCATTTCTGATTGCTGCATAATATTCCATGGTGTATCTGTGCCACAGTTTTCCAATCCAGTCTATCATCAATGGGCATTTGGGTTGATTCCAGGACTTTGCTATTGTAAACAGTGCTGCAATGAACATTCGTGTACATGTGTCCTTATAGTAGAACGATTTATAGTCTTTTGGATATATACCCAGTAATGGGATTGCTGGGTCAAATGGAATTTCTATTTCTAAGGCCTTGAGGAATCGCCACACCGTCTTCCACAATGGTTGAACTAATTTACACTCCCACCAACAGTGTAAAAGTGTTCCTTTTTCTCCACATCCTCTCCAGCATCTGTTGTCTCCAGTTTTGGTATCAGGATGATATTGGTCACATAAAATGATTTGGGAAGGATTCCTTCTTTTTGGATTATTTAGAATAGTTTCAGAAGGAATGGTACCAGCTCCTCTTTGTGTGTCTGGTAGATCTCGGCTGTGAACCCATCTGGACCTGGGCTTTTTTTGTGTGGTAGGCTCTTAATTGCTGACTCGACTTGTTATTGGTCTATTCATGGTTTCAACTTCCTCCTGGTTTAGGCTTGGGAGGACACAGGAGTCCAGGAATTTATCCATTTCTTCCAGGTTTACTAGTTTATGTGCATAGAGTTGTTTGTAATATTCTCTGATGATGGTTTGAATTTCTGTGGAATCTGTGGTGATTTCCCCTTTATCATTTTTTATTGCATCTATTTGGTTGTTCTCTCTTTTCTTTTTAATCAATCTGGCTAGTGGTCTGTCTATTTTGTTGATCTTTTCAAAAAACCAGCTCTTGGATTTTTTGATTTTTTGAAGGGTTTTTTGTGTCTCAATCTCCTTCAGTTCAGCTCTGATCTTAGTTATTTCTTGTCTTCTGCTGGGTTTTGAGTTTTTTTGATGTTGCTCCTCTAGCTCTCAATTTTGACGATAGGGTGTCAATTTTGGATCTCTCCATTCTCCTCATATGGGCACTTATTGCTATATACTTTCCTCTAGAGACTGCTTTAAATTTGTCCCAGAGATTCTGGCATGTTGTGTCTTCGTTCTCATTGGGTTTGAATAACTTCTTTATTTCTGCCTTCATTTCATTGTTTATCCAGTCAACATTCAAGGGCCAGTTGTTCAGCTTCCATGAAGCTGTGCGGTTCTGGGTTGGTTTCTGAATTCTGAGTTCTAACTTGATTGCACTATGGTCTGAGAGGATGTTTGTTATGATTTCAGTTGTTTTGCATTTGTTTAGCAGTGCTTTACTTCCAATTATGTGGTCAATTTTAGAGTAGGTGTGATGTGGTGCTGAGAAGAATGTATATTCTGTGGATTTGGGGTGGAGAGTTCTATAAATGTTTATGAGGTTTGCTTGCTCCAGGTTTGAGTTCAAGCCCTGGAAATCCTTGTTGATTTTCTGTCTGGTTGATCTGTCTAATATTGACAGTGGGGTGTTAAAGTCTCCCACTATTATTGTGTGGGAGTCTAAGTCTTTTGTAAGTCACTAAGAACTTGCCTTATGTATCTGGGTGCTCCTGTGTTGGGTCCATATATGTTCAGGATCATTAGCTCTTCTTTTTGTATTGATCCATTTACCATTATGTAATGGCCTTCTTTGTCTCTTTTGATCTTTGTTGCTTTAAAGTCTATTTTATCAGAGATGAGAATTGCAACTCCTGCTTTTTTTTGCTCTCCATTTTCTTGGTAAATCTTCCTCCATCCCTTTATTTTGAGCCTTTGTGTATCCTTGCATGTGACATGGGTTTCCTGGATACAGCACACTGATGGGTTTTGGATTTTTATCCAATTTGCCAGTCTGTGTCTTTTGATTGGTGCATTTAGTCCATTTACATTTAGTGTTAGTATTGTTATGTGTGAATTTAATACTGCCTTTTTGATGCTAGGTGGCTGTTTTGCCCGTTAGTTGTTGTAGATTCTCCATTATGTTGATGCTCTTTAGCATTTAGTGTGATTTTGGAATGGCTGGTACTGGTTGTTCCTTTCTATGTGTAGTGCCTCTTTCAGGCCTGTAAAGCAGGCCTGGTGGTGACAAAATCTCTGAGTACTTGCTTGTTCGCAAAGAATTTTATTTTTCCTTCACTTCTGAAGCTCAGTTTGGCTGGATATGAAGTTTTGGATTGAAAGTTCTTTTCTTTAAGGATGTTGAATATTTGCCCCCACTCTCTTCTAGCTTGAAGTGTTCCTGCTGAGAGATCTGCTGTGAGTCTGATGGGCTTCCCTTTGTGGGTGACCCGACCTTTCTCTCTGGCTTCCCTTAGTATTTTCTCCTTCATTTCAATTTTGTTGAATCTGACGATTATGTGCCTTGGGGTTGCTCTTCTTGTGGAATATCTTTGTGGTGTTCTCTGTATTTCCTGCATTTGAGTGTTGGCCAGTCTTTCTAGGTGGGAGAAATTTTCCTGGATAATGTCCTGAAGAGTATTTTCCAGCTTGGATTCATTCTCTTCATCACATTCTGGTACACCTATCAAACGTAGGTTTGGTCTCTTCACATAGTCCCACATTTCTTGGAGACTTTGTTCATTCCTTTTTTGCTTTTATCTCTGATCTTGGTTTCTTGTTTTATTTCATTGAGTTGGTCTTCGACTTCTGATATTCTTTCCTCTGCCTGGTGAATTCGAATATTGAAACTTGTGCATGCTTCGTGAAGTTCCTGTATTGTGTTTTTCAGCTTTTTTAATTCATTCATATTCCTCTCTAAGTTATCCATTCTTGTTATTATTTCCTCATGTCTTTTTTTAAGTTCCTTAGTTTCTTTGCATTGATTTAATACATGTTCTTTTAGCTCACAAAAGTTTCTCATTATCCACCTTCTGAAGTCTAATTCTGTCATTTCATCACTGTCATTCTCCGTCCAGCTTTGTTCCCTTGCTGGTGAGGAGTTTTGGTCCTTTCTAGGAGGCGAGGTGTTCTGGTTTCGGGTGTTTTCCTCCTTTATTCGCTGGTTTCTTCCCATCTTTGTGGGTTTATCTGCTTGTCGTCTGCGTAGTTGCTGACCTTTCGATTGGGTCTCTGAGTGGACACCCAGATTGTTGATGATGAAGTATTTCTGTTACTTGGTTTTCCTTCTACCAGCCTAGCCCCTTCGCTGTATGACTGCTGAGGTCCACTCTAGGCCCTGCTTGTCTGGGGTGCACCTCTAGCAGCTGTGGCACAGCGACGGATGCTACCTGTTTCTTTTTCTGCTATCTTTGTCTCAGGATGATGCCTGCCAAATGTCAGTCTTTTGGATATAGAGGGGTCAGGGAACTGCTTGAGGAGACAGTCTGTTCTATTTAGGAGCTCAATTTCTGAGCTGTGAGCTCTGTTGTTCATTCAGGGCTGTTAGTCTGCTATGTTTGATTCTGCTGCAACAGAGCTCATTAAAAAAACCCTTTTTTTCTCAAATGCTCTGTGTTGAGGGGTTTCGGGCTTTATTTTTTGATGTTCTTTGAGGTGTCCTGCCCAGCTAGGAGGCAGACTAGCCACTGTTTGCCTGCCAAGACTCCGCCCTGCTGTTGTGTGATTCGCCCTGTTCCTGCAGGCTCTGCTGTGATCTCTGCCACACCCTGCGGCGGAGTCTCTTTGTTGTAGCGTGTTGCCTCGGCAACCGCAGGCTGCGTCAGCAGTGGGCGTGTATCTCAGTAGGGATGGGTTGCCTCGGCAACGGGAGGCTGTTTCCGCAGTGTGCGTGTATCTCAGTAGGGACGGGTTGCCTCAGTAGTGGTGGACGCTTCTCCCCCACAGAGCGTCTCGGACCGTCTGCTCGGGATAGTTTGGAATCGCGGTTTTGCTCGTCCCACTGGGTATCCCGAACGCTCTGTCCCTGCAATCCCCTGGGCTGGCCTACTGTCCAAGTCTCCTTCAGTCTCAAGTCCAGCCCTCTCAAGTCTCAGGTTGCTGGTTCAACAGGGCACCCAGACAAGCACGCCCTGTGGGGATTGCTGGGTAGGGCCGGCCACCGCTGCCCCGGCTGCCGGCTTCGCCAGGCAGACTTACTGCCTGGCGTCCCGTGTCTTTTCTATACTTGGGAGTTTCTCTGTTTTGTGGGCAACAAAGATCAGTCTAAAAATGCAGCTCGGACTCACCTCTTTGCAGATTCAATGAGAGCTCCAATCCTGGGTTGTTCTCACAGCGCCATCTTGAGTTCTCTCCCTCTGATCAGAATTTTAAAAGAAGACAGGAAGTGGCAGTATTTTAAAAATAATGACTGGAAAAAGAATTTCAAATTGTTACAATCATGACTTCTTAGTTTAAGTAAGTCTTATGTATCCTAAGCAGAAAAGAAACATAAATAATAAAATTAAAATAAGTGTGGGAAAGTATGATGGCTTATGTCTATAATCTCAGCACTTTGAGAGGAGAGTCAGGGCAGATCCTTTGAGCTCAGGAGTTAGAATTCTGCCTGGGAAACATGGTGAAACTCTGAAATACAAAAAAACTAGCTGGGTGTGGTGGTGCATGCTTGTAATTCCAGTTACTCGGCAGGCTGAGATAGGAGTCTCACTTGAGACTAGGTGGCAAAATTTGCAGTAAGCTGGCAGAATTTGTAGTGAGGTTGCAGAATTTGCACACCACCACACTGCAGCCTGCACAACAGAGCAAGATGTGATTTCCATAAATAAATAAGTTCAAGTTTTAAAATAACATAATGCATGCAAACAGACTGAAGTTACCTGTTCACAAGTATAAGTGGTCATGTGTTTTAAAACAGTTACAATTAAGCATAAGACTAAGAAAAGCCATCATCAAAAAAAAAGAAAAAAGTATCCACATAGAACAAACAACAGAATAGGCTATTAGCACTTTTAGGAAAACTGATTTCAAGGAAAACCAAAAGCATCAGCAGTAATAAGGGTCAGTACAAAATAATATTTTAATTTGTTAGAAAAACCTATTAATGTAAGCTTCTATATACTCAATAACATGAAAAAATGAACAAATCCAGCATAAATCTTAAAGACAAATATTAGATCATAGGCATCTTATGGTTTGGAGCCCATTTTCTGTTATAATACAACTAGTTTTCAAAAAGGAATACATTTTTAAAATTTATAAAAATTTATTTATTATTATTATTTTTTTGAGACTGAGTTTCGCTTTTGTTACCCAGGCTGGAGTGCAATGGCGTGATATCAGCTCACCGCAACCTCCGCCTCATGGGTTCAGGCAATTCTCCTGCCTCAGCCTTCTGAGTAGCTGGGATTACAGGCACATGCCACCATGCCCAGCTAACTGGGGCCTGTTTTGTAGGTTGAAATGGCGGTGGTTGTGGTGGCGGTGGTGGCAGCTGCAATGGCAGCGGGCCACCCAGGGGTAAGCCCCTCAGGAGGAGGGAGCAGCAGAGGGAGTGGCAGAGGCCAGGGTGGGGTGGGGCCGCCCGGGAGGGAGGAGCACAGGAAGGAAGAGGCCGGGCCAGGAGAGCCCCAGCCCCAGGAGGATGTAGAGAAGGCAGAGCGTCTCCTGGCGCATTCCCTGCCCGCCTGACTGACTTACTCAGCTAAGGATGCTCCTGGCCCTTGCTGGGACCCTCAAGCTGCCATGGACCCAGGTGAGGAACTCTGCGTGCCCGCATCTGCCCTCAGCCTCCGTGGGGTCCAGGTAGCCCTCTGAACTGGCTGGCCAGGGCGGCTGGCGGGACTGAACCCCCCTGGCAGAGCAGCCTCCAGGATCGCCCTGGCCCCAGCATCCCCGGCTCCCACCCTGGGCTCCAGGTCCCCCCACTCCTAAACCGGACTCCAGGTCCCCACACCCCTAAACCGCACCCAGGGAAAGGTACCTACGGTCCAAAAAATGCACACTCCAGCCCCCACCAAGGGACAGCGCCAGGCAGTACCTGGCACAGTGGGAAGTTGAACTGTCCTGAGAATAACTGCCAGTTCACCAGTTGCCAGGCACGAGAGCTCGAACTATGAGGAGAAAACCGCCAGCTCAGAAAGCGACTGTTGGGAGCCCGAACTCTTGCGCAAACAGCCGCCAGGCACGCGCTGCAGGAGCGCAGAGCATGGCGTGGCAAGGGCAGCCTTGGAGCCAGCTGAACTGGCAGGAGGAGCACGACTTGTCAGAGCTCGTCTGGAGTGTTGCCAGCCTCCAGGAGGAAACGGACCCCAACTTCCAGCCCGCCCTAAACTTTGCCTGGTCCAACTTAATGAGCGGAGCAGAGCGGGGCGGGGTGGCGCGCAGGCCCACGGCGCAGGGGTTTGTGGAATGGGGCGTCCCTGCTCTGGGCTGGGGGTTGCAGCGCGGGCTGGGGGCAGGCAGTCATGGCGCGGGGCGGTCGCGATGTGGGGCGGCGCGCGGGGCAGGGGTAGGGGCATGGGGTCGCAGTGCAGGGGTTCGCGGCATGGGTCATTATGGCTCCAGGCGGGGGAGTCGCGGCATGGGGCCGTGGTTGCAGCGCTGGGTGGGGCGGGGCGGCGCAGCGGGGGCAGGCGGGGCTTGGGGTCGCGGTGTGGGGCATCGCGCCTCTGGGTGGGGGGTCGCATGGCGGGGTGTCGCGGGGTGGCAAGGGGAGGGGTAGGGGGTCGCGCAAGGTGGGGCAAGGGTTCCCCTGAACAGGGCTCGCTAGGGTTGGGCGTGGGGCTGAGGCAGACTAAGCTTGGGGAGCCCTTGCAGGCTCTGCCGCAGCCTGCTGGACGCTGACCAGGCTCTCCCGATAGCCTCAGGGTAAGCATGGGACTGGGTTCTTTCTGGCCGGAGTGCGCCTGCAACCCCAGGGCTCTGGGAGGCCCAGGCTGGGCAACGTAGCCACTCCATCTCTAATTTTTTCTTTTTAAGTAAAGAGATTTTATTCTCACTGATTCCTGCTTCCTGGTCAGCCAGTACAATTTCCCTCTCACTCTGTTTTCCCTTTTCCAAAACGCATGTCAGGACAGTGATTTAACCTGTCCTTACTGCCTCTGCTTCCACTCCAGCTAGAATGCTACATCCGTGCACAGCTCCTCGAAGGTAGCACGGTAAGTCGCCTAATGCAATTGCTAATGCGGTTTCTCTTTTAACTAGTTTCTTGTTTGGTTGGTTGGTTGGGTTTTGTTTTGTTTTTGAGATGGAGTCTTGCTCTGTCACCCAGGCTGGAGGGCAGTGGCGTGATGAAGGCTCACTGCAACCTCTGACTCCCAGGTTCAAGCGATTCTCTTGCCTCAACCTCCCCAAGGCACCTGCCTCCACACTTGGTTAATTTGTGTGTGTGTGTGTGTGTGTGTGTATTTTTTTAGTAGACACGGGATTTCACCGTGTTAGCCAGGATGGTCTCAGTCTCCTGACCTCGTGATTTGGCCCCCTTGGCCTCCCAAAGTGCTGGGATTACAAGCCTGAGCACCATGCCCGGCCTCTTGTAACTAATTTTTAAAGACTTACAGAGTTTAGATATATAGGTGGAGTGAGATATCCTATTTTTCTTTATGGGAGATGTAAATTAAACAATGCTTTAGTTCACTATTCATAATGAAGTTATTAGTAAAAGAATGTTAATGTTCTGTTTAATTTCAGTAAAAATCTTCTTGAAAAATGATTAGGTTTTCAAAACCTGTAATCTTAGTTACCTTAATGATCAAAGCCCATAAAATGTCTAGTTAGTTGGTTTATAATAGAAATACAGGGCTTTCAGGTTCTTTTAAAACATGCCAAGTTTCCAAAGTAATAAACTGAATTCTTAACTGTAACTTATAAAAATAACAAACCACTGCTCAACGAAATCAGAGAGGACACAAACAGATGGAGAAACATTCCATGTTCATGGTTAGAAAGAATTAATATCATGAAAATGGCTATACTGCCCAAAGTAATTTACAGAATCAATGCTATACCCATCAAGCTACCATTGACTTTCTTCACAGAACTGGAAAAAAACACCATGAACTTCATATGGAACCAAAAGAGAGCCCGCATAGCCAAGTCAATTCTAAGCAAAAAGAACACAGCGGGGGGCATCACACTACCGGATTTCAAACTATACTACAAGGCTACAGTAATCAAAACAGCATGGTACTGGTACCAAAACAGAGATATAGATCAATGGAACAGAACAGAGGCATCAGAGGCAACACAACATAGCTACAACCATACAATCTTTGATAAAACTGACAGAAACAAGCAATGGGGAAAGGATTCCCTGTTCAACAAATGGTGCTGGGAAAACTGGCTAGCCATGTGCAGAAAGCAGAAACTGGACCCCTTCCTGACACCTTACACCAAAATTAACTCCAGATGGATTAAAGACTTAAACATAAGACCTGGCACCATAAAAACCCTAGAAGGAAATCTAGGCAAAACCATCCAGGACATAGGAGTAGGCAAGGACTTCATGAACAAAACACCAAAAGCATTGGCAACAAAAGCCAAAATAGACAAATGGGACCTAATCAAACTCCACAGCTTCTGCACAGCAAAAGAAACAGTCTCTAGTGTGAATCAGCAACCAACAGAATGGGAAAAAATGTTTGCAGTTTACCTATCTGACAAAGGGCTGATATCCAGAATTTACAAAGAACTCAAACAGATTTACAGGAAAAAAACAGACAAGCCCATTCAAAAGTGGGCAAAGGATATGAACAGACACTTTACAAAAGAAGACATATATGAGGCCAACAATCATATGAAAAAATGCTCATTGTCACTGGTCATCAGAGAGATGCAAATCAAAACCACATTGAGATACCATCTCACTCCAGTTAGAATGGCGATCATTAAAAAATCTGGAGACAACAGATGCTGGAGAGGATGTGGAGAAAAAAGAACACTTTTACACTGTTGGTGGGAGTGTAAATTAGTTCAACCATTTTGGAGGACGGTGTGGCGATTCCTCAAGGCCTTAGAAATAGAAATTCCATTTGACCCAGCAATCCCATTACTGGGTATATATCCAAAGGACTATAAATCGTTCTACTACAAGGACACATGCACACGAATGTTCATTGCAGCACTGTTTACAATAGTAAAGACCTGGAATCAACCCAAATGCCCATCAATGATAGACTGGATTGGGAAAACGTGGCGCATATACACCATGGAATATTATGCAGCAATCAGAAATGATGAGTTTGTGTCGTTTGTAGGGACATGGATGAATCTGGAGAACATCATTCTCAGCAAACTGACACAAGAACAGAAAATGAAACACCGCATATTCTCACTCATGTGCGGGTGATGAAAAATGAGAACGTATGGACACAGAGAGGGGAGTACCAAACACTAGGGTCTATAGGAGGGAAAAGGG